GTGTGTGTGTGTGTGTTTAGATTCTATATATAAGTGAAACCTTTGGTATTTGTCTTTCTCTGTCTGACTTAGTTCACTGAGCATAATACCTTCCCATTCATGTTATCACAAATGGCAGGATTTCATTCTTTTTTATTGCTGAGTAACAGTTCATTGTATATATCTATCACATCTTTTTTTATCCAGTTACCGATTGATGGATACCTAATTTGCTTTCATATCTTGGCTGTTGTAAATAATGCTGCAATGAACATAGGGGTGTAGATATCTTAAAATTTTTGGAATTTATAAAAATTAAATTTTTATTCACTAGAACCATTCAGGTGAATGTACAGCAGTCTAATGTAGTATGTAGTTAAAACATACTTAGGTTGAAGCATATGAAATTCTCATTATTGTAGATCAAAATGGTTAAATAGCTTATATGTACATGATAATGTATATAGTATATACTTAACGTAGTATATTCTAAAAGAGATAAGATAGTTTATGGTTCCTATTATTGGGTTCTTAAGAAACAGATTTTAAATGGAAACAGTCCCAATATAAAAATGAAAAAGTTGATAACCTATTTATAGCAATTTTATAATTACTTTTGAAAATGAGTAATGTAGATAAAGGATATGTAACGAAAACATGTTTTGGCCAAATGATATCACCAACATAAAACATAGTGTCCTTCTCGAAGTGGGTGGAGTGAGTGAATGAAAGATTGAGTAAAAGAAGTATTATTTTTTAAATGTTTAATATATTAATTGATGCTTGCATCATTAAATTGAACTACAAGTTGCATAGATATAAAAAGAAAAATTTCTTAAAATTTTCCAGGGTAAAATAACTATTGTTAGGTCACAATGTCTGTGGTTATATGTTAATACAACTTTTCAAGAGTACAAAATATACTAATATTAATGTATTTTCCCATTGATTAGGTAAATAAACTAATCAAAGAGGAGCTTCAAAGTCAAGTGGAATTGCTAAATTCTTTTGAGAAAAAATTTAGTGATCCTGGCCCTGTATATGACTGCTTGGTATGGCACGATGGTGAAGTCTGGAGGTAAACTTCATGTGTTTTACTAGAGGCCCGGTGCATGGATTCATGCACCGGTGGGGTCCCTTGGCATGGCCTGTGGGGATTGGGCCAAAACCAGCAGTGCAGTGCTGCCTGTCGCTCTTGGCTGCCACTCCAGCTCATCCCAGCCTGCTGTGCCTGCATGAGCCCTGCATCTGGCGCCCATCGGTCAGCTGAGCAGCGCTCCCACTATGGGAGCACACTGACCACCAGGGGGCAGTTCCTGCGTTGAGCGTCTGGTGGTCAGTGCGCGTCATAGCGACCAGTTATTCTGGTTGCTTGGGTTGCTCCAGGCGCTTAGGCATTTATATATTAGTATACAATAGATAGCTCTTCATGTCAAAATATTTTTTGTCTACCCTGAAGGACATTAAACCCTCAAAACTGCCAGAGATTTGGTTTATTATTACATTAATATCACTAAGCAAAACTATTTGAAAGCCAAATTGGCTTTTGGGTAGTTTGGATAAGCCTTTTGAACTTCTTAGTACTTTAGACACTAAACCTGACTCTTTTTCGTTTAAAGTTTATTTCACTAACCAGATAGTTATCAGTAACCAGAATTTATCAGTTTAATAATTGATATATATATAAAAGTGTTCCTGATTGAAGTTGGGCAATTTGGAAAGTAACTTCAAGAGAATATTGCAAAGCATCTACTTTGGGCAAGCAAGGAAAGCTGAATGAAGATATCTAAATTGAGACAAGGTGGCTAAGTTGAAGTGAGGCATTATAATACAGGTGGTATGATACAGATTTCTAAGATGGAATCCTAGCTGTTTGACCTTGAATATCTCTAATCCTGTTTTCTCATCTGTTAATTGAGATAATAATACTACTTTCCTAGAGGATTTTGTAAAAATTAATTTTGTTTCTAGACACAGTATGCACTCAATAAATGTAAGCTTTTGCTGCTGTTACTAATAATAGTAATATTGATGTTTTATACTAAGTTACTTATCCTACACATTTTCAGTTTTTTTCTTAGTAGAATTGCACACTACAGATACATTTCTTGGAGTTGGTAGTATGACTTCTTGAAAACTATCTGCATGGAAATAGGAATGTGTTCTTAACACAGATATATAGGCATATGTGTGTTTCAGGGTACCAGCAGTAAACCAGAGGCTTTCCTTAAAACTCCTTTTTTTGTTTCTTTTGCTTTGGATAGAATTATATTTTAATTTTTTTAAACCCCTAAAACTTGAAATCAAATATAGCTTTGTAGTTTGAGTCCCTATTCATATGCAGAGAATCATTTCCCAAGATACAGGACAAGCTATGATGACTTGATTACTTTTCTCAGATTGTTTACTTTACAATGTACCCTTCTTAAAGGAGGTATTTCCTCCTATGGATGTCAGTACTATCTCATCTCTGACAATTGGTATAAATTTTTAATTGAATGAGAAATTCCTGCTCCATTTGCATTTTTCATTCAGATGATATTAAATATTAATGTAGTTTTTGCATGTATTCAGTTATGTTGTATGGGTGTGTGAATACATGTAAGTGTACACACATTTGTGAACATTTTTTTTTCCTACAAAGCTATGCAGAAAGCTTTGATCATAGTGATTGTAACATAAAAAGTGTTCAAAGGTATGGTTTAGCAAAATTTGGTATATCCTCTACATAGTGTAACATGAGATAGTCATTCCTAGTGATAAGGCTTAGGTGAATTTTATTGTGGGAGAGGAGTCAAGGTTAAATGTGAGGAAAATACTAGATACAAAACTGAGTATATGTGGGGAAAATGTACTACAGAAGGACTGAAAGAAATACTATAAAATTAGTAGGGATTGCATAGTGGGGCAATAGGTGGTTTCAATTACAGTATTTTACATGACTGAAAACTGCAGGCTACTTTGTCCTCAGGGAAGGGAATCTAGAATCACGAGGTCCAGGGTGCCAGTGTATGTTTCCAGAAGGTTTACTTGGTCGTTAAGGCAGTTGACAGAGTAAGTGATAAATTATAACAGGTTGTCAACAGTATTCTAAGACACCTTTAGAATTTTTCTGTTGGAAATGATGTTTAATCAAACATTAAATGAAATGCAATCTGAAATCACTAGAGTAACATTTTAGAAAATATTATGAGTGAGAAATGTAGCAGAATTATGCTTCAAGTGCTACTGGGAATACCTTTTTTTAAAGCATCATAATATCTCACTTAGGGCTTTAATCTCCCCACCTCATTTCAGAGTTAGATCCAGAATTTTTTTTCAGAGAATCTTAAAAACTCCACATCACCTAAGGCGAACTTAGACACAGCAATTTCTGAGGGAGAGTAAAGTGACCTTAAGTATCATGTGTTTGTTTTGTTTTTGTTTCACAAAGAATGCCAAGTCTATCCTCCCCCTGCCACATTTCCAGTAATTGTTAAACCCACATATCTGCACTTAGTAGATAACCTAATATAACTATACTCTTAAGCAGGGGTCCTCAAACTTTTTAAGCCGGGGGCCAGTTCACTGTCCCTCAGACCGTTGGAGGGCCAGACTATAGTTTAAAAAAAACTATGAACAAATTCCTATGCACACTGCACATATCTTATTTTGAAGTAAAAAAACAAAACGGGAACAAATAACAATATTTGTATTTGCATGTGGCCCGCGGGCCGTAGTTTGAGGACCCCTGCTCAGGAGGTATGGTGTCAAACTCACTATATCGTTATGGAGCAAAAAACTGGTTGAGAGAAGTAGTATGTATTTATAGAAGATTACATAAAGGAAAGACCATTGATTTGTTTCTTTTCAATAGTTTTTTATTTTGCTATCTCAGGTTTTTTGTTTTTTGGGATTTTTTTTTTTAGATTTGATGAAAGCTGTGGATTTTTTCCATAGAAAATTAAACAAATGTATTCAAAATGTTTAGGAATTTATAAACCCTAAATCCCTAATTTTTTCCATGAACCTCATTTTCATATTCCCTTTCTCTGTATTCTGACAACTGTTCCTTGAATTAAGCCAACCAGACCTTCAGAAAGGTTTTAACCTTGAACCACATTCATGGAGTTATTATTGAAGTTACTAATATTTATGTTTATTTTGATAGCATATTTGAATTGTTGAGTCACTTTATATTGATGGTGGTTATAAGAAACTGATCTGTGAAATGCATCACTGTATTTGCTGTGATAATTTTTGAAATCATTTTTATTTTCCAATTACAGTTGACATACAATATTATATTAGTTTCAGGTGTACAACTGAATCAAAATTGGGCATTATATAACTTACTAAGTGATCATCCTGATAAATCTTGTACCCATCTGACACCATACATATTATTAGAATATTGTTGACTGCATTTCCTGTGCTGTACTTTACATCCCTGTGAATATTCTCTAACTACCAATTTGTACTTCCCAACCCCTTCACCTTTTTCACCCATCCCCATTCACAACCATCAAAATGTTCTCTGTATCTGTGAGTCTGTTTCTGTTCTGTTTATTTTGGTTTTTTAGATTCAATTTTTATCTTTTCTTTTTCTTCTTAAAGAAGACCCTTTAACATTTCACGTATTACTGGTTTGGTGGTGATGAACTCCTTAGCTTTTTTTCTTATCTGGGAATCTTTTATCTGTCCTTCCATTCTAAAAGATAGCTTTGCTGGGTAGAGTAATCTTGGTTGTAGATCCTGGCTTTTTGTCACTGAATATTTCTTGCCAATCCCTTCTGGTCTACAAAATTTCTATTGAGAAATTAGCTTACAGTCTTATGGGTGCTCCCTTGTAGGTAACTAATTACTTTTCTCTTGCTGCTTTTTATAGTCTCTCTTTGTCTTTATCTTTGGCATTTTAATTATGATGTGTCTTGATGTGGGTCACTTTGAGTTCATCTTATTGGGACTCTCTGCACTTCCTGGATTTGTATGCCTTTTCCTTTACCATGTTAGGGAAGTTTTCTGTCATTATTTTTCAAATAGGTTTTCAGTTTCTTGCGTTATCTCTCTTTCTTTTTCTTCTGGCACCCCCATGATTCAAATGTTGGTACACTTGAAGTTAACCTAGAGGCTCCTTACAATATCCTACATTTGTTTAATTCATTTTTCTTTTGCTGTTGTGCCTGGGTATTTTTTTACTTTCTTATTATCCAAATCACTGATTTGATTCTCAGCTTCATCTACTCTACTGTTGATTCCCTGTAAATTCTTCGTTTCAGTTAATGTATCATTCATTTCTGACTGTTTCTTTTTTATGGTTTCTATGTCCTTATTTTAAGCTGTTGATGCTCTCACTAAGTTCAGCTACTCTTTGCTGGAGTTCATTGAGCATTTTCATAATTAATTTTTGAACTCTGCATCTAATAGATTGCTTGTCTCCATCTGGTTAGCTCTTTTTCTGGAGTTTTATTCTACTATTGGTCTGGTGCACAGATTCATGCACATTGAAAGGAAATTAATTAGAAGAAATATTAGCAAACAGTGCCCCAACAACAACATAACCCACGGCCGAAGATGGAGTAACATGGACCCGTGAGGAATCGGACTCCCTTCTCTCTGGTTCTGGGGTGCGTCACTCAAGAGCCGCTGCTGCCAAGTCACCGCAGCTTGGTAGTAAACCAGATTTGGAGCCGACAGTGCCCCAGCAACAATGTATCCCACGGCCGGAGGTGGAATTGCGCAGCCCTGTGAGGAATCGGGCTCCCTCCTCTCTGGTTCCGGGGTGCATCACCCAAGAACCGCTGCTGCCAAGTCACCGGAGTTTGGCAGCTCCTGCATTGAGCGTCTGCCCCCTGGTGGTCAGTGCATGTCATATGTACTGGCCAGTCGGACAGTTGGTTGGTCACTTAGCCTTTTATATATATAGGTCTTTTTCATTTGGGACATGTTTCTTTGTCTCCTCATTTTGGCAGTCTCTCTGTTTTTGTTTCTATGTATTAGATAGAGCTGCTGTATCTCCCAGGCTTGGTAGGGTTGCCTAATGTAATGTCCTGTAGGGTTCAGTGCCACAGCCTCCCCTTTCATCTGATCTGGGCACTCCAGGTGCACTCCCCCCTCCAATTCCCTGTTTGGGCTGTGTACACTTTTTATAGTTGAACCTTAATTGCTGTGGGCACCTCATTGGGAGGGGTTTACTCTCAAGCCAATTAGCTGCAAGAACTGGTTGCAACCAGCATGGTGGATCAACTGTGTAGGGGCCCACCCCACAGAGTAGGACTTAACTTCAGCAGGGCTCTGATGTCCACTGAGTCTGGCCCTTGAGTGTGTGCTTGTGGAGGTGGTTGGATGCTGCTTCTGTATGGCCTGAAGCTATCCACCTGGTGCACTGGCTCTGGGGCCTCCTGGGAGGTGCAGGCCAAGTCAGCCACATGGCATGAGCTATAAAACAATCTGTAGGTGGCTGCTATTTGTGCTGGGCTTGGAGGTGCAGAGGCCAAGTTGTGAACCAAAGCCAGCTGCCACTAGTGCCAGGCCTGGGGCCATTTAGTGAGCAGCATGTGGCACACCCATGAGATTCTGCTTGTTTGAAAGATTTTAGGAAAATCTGAAGCATGATCCAAGACAAGTCATTCTTATGGAAAATGCATTGGAAACAGCTGGGTGGGCCTGCTATTTGGGTGGAATGGAGTCTCAGGGAATAACCAGGGTGGGGTGAATAATGTTAGCCATGTTGATGGAGACTCAGACATGGTGCCTACCTGCCAGTTCAGGAGGGGGAGGGGCTACAGGGTGCTCATCAAAGGAACAGTGGCCTTTGCCAGCACTTTTGCCTGTGAGAAAACCATCACCCCTGCTCTTGCCCTGATGCCAGACAATTTAGTTCCTTCCCATATGTCCTTGGTGTCTTTTGAGTTGCTTCTCCAGCGCTGAAGCTCAGAATGAGTGAGTCTGAGTAAGTTTGTGTGCTGGTTCTTTAAAGGAACACCTAGGACTCTAGCCTCCCTCCATTTCATTTAGCAACAATCCCTGCTGAGCTTTATAGCCAGAAATTATGGGGAGTTCTCTTCCTGGCACTGGAACTCTGGCTGGGGGGCTGGTGGAGGACTGGGGCACCCCTCACCTCCCCATCCCTACTCCTCAGGGTATTCTCTGTAGCTAAGGTAGCCCTCCTGATTTTTATCCACCATACATGGGTGTGGGACCAGCTCGTTCTCATCTCCTTCCCTCCAACCAGTCTCCATGTGGCTTCTTTATATCCTTAGTTGTAGGACTATGTTCAGCTAGATTTCAGGCAGTTCTGAATGATAGTTCTATAGTTGAGTTGTAATTTTGCTGTGGTTGTGAGAGGATGCCAGTACCCCATTTACCTACACTACCATCTTGACCGCCCTTGCTGTGAGAATGTTGTTAAAAGTGTTGATTCATCCGTTATTTCATCATTTGGCAAATATTTGAGTAGCTTCATTGAGTAGGTGGGCTCTCTAGAAGCTACTCCATGGAGCCTAGACCCTGTGGAATCAAGTATTGGGGTCATCTGAACCCATCTAGGAATCATCAAGAAAGGTTTCATTGAAGGATTAGCAAAAGTTAGCTAAGCAAAGAGGGTAGAAAAGGGGGGGTGGTGGTGAAGGTTAGAGGGGGAAGATCCAGAGGACAACAAGGAGCTGGTAGAAATTTACAGTGCATTATAGGCTGCACAAAAGAAAGGGAGGGCTTAGAAATGACTTCCAGGAGGGTTAGAAATGACTAACCATCTATTTTGGAACCAAAAGTGCTGCTCTGTCTTGCAAATACGGAGGATTTGATGGAATACATTTTACCTTTTAACCTCAGTCCTACCTCCATTTGACATGCTACTTGTTTTCTCTTTTCCTAATTTTTCTCATAAGTGTTCAATCTTATATATGTTGCTATATTGTATGTTTTTTTGAAATGTTGTAAATCATTTTGGCTACACATTGATTGAAGTCTATAATAAACACAAACTGACAGTTTTAGAGATCCTTCTTTCCAAATTGTTGTAGTTTGTTCATAGAATATACATGCCTTAGTGTTTATAGTAAACAAGTGGCCCAGTGCACGAATTCATGCACATTGAAAGGAAATTAATTAGAAAAAATATTTTAATATTGCTATTTGCCCTTTCTCTGTAATAGAAGTGTCAAACAAATTCACAATCGACAATGACAGATGGAAACACATGGGTGCGATGGGTGCCAGTGAGAGCTTTATCTGTATAGCGCATGTGTGAGTCAACTTAGCCTTTTATATATAGAGAATAAACTTGCTTAATTAGACCTGCTTTCTGATTTAGATAAACTTTTTCCATCCCAGTGAAACACCCCAACTTCTTTTTCAGGTAATTGTCAGCAACACAGCAGTAAATATCAACATGAATCAGATTATTATTGTAGATCACACAGGGAGAACAAAGGGTAAAATATTTAACTGCAGCAGTGTTTGACTATATTCTGTGCAGTGAGAAAACCTGAAATCATTTTCAACCTCCACCATTTCTTACTTCTTTTTAGTCGGGTCAAGTTTCTGAACTTTCTAAATCTTTGTTTTCTCGCTAATGAAAAGAAAAATAGGATTCCACCGAGTCTCCTATCTACCTACTCCAGGATTTCTGTGAGGATCAAATGAGATGAGGCACGGGAAAACGCTTTACAGACATTTATTTAAAGTGTGAAATGCCCTGACCGGTTTGGCTCAGTGGATAGAGCGTCGGCCTGCGGACTGAAGGGTCCTGGGTTCGATTCCAGTCAAGGGCATGTACCTTGGTTGTGGGCACATCCCCAGTAGGGGGTATGCAGGAGGCAGCTGATCGATGTTTCTCTCTCATTGATGTTTCTCTCTATTCCTCTCCCTTCTTCTCTGTAAAAAATCAATATAATATATTTAAAAAATAAAAAAATAAAAAAGTGTGAAATGTTTGCACCTGGCTATAAAGCAAGTCGGGTTCCTGGGCTGAAGAAACTGCAAGGAGGCTAGGGAGAGGAAGCCGGGCGTTTCCAGGTTGGGCTGAGCTGTGGGCCGCATTTTTGGCCATGGGGTCTCGGCAGCGTTGGCTACGATTTGGTGGGATATTGCTCCAGGATGGTGGTGGGGCCTGTGTCCCACTTGGGGGAAGTCAAGTGTTGGTTTGTCGACACCAGATCCATGGTGCTGGCCAGTGCACATCATGGCAGCTCCTGCGTTGAGTGTCTGGCACCTGCTGATGGCACCAAGCGATCGGGACCGGCACCAGGCACCGGCAGCAGGTGCAAGAGGCAGCTCTGGCACTGGCTGCAGGTGCGAGCAGGGCTGTTGCCAGCAGTGGGTGCAAGAGGCGGCTGCCAGCCCCAATTGCCCCTCAGGAGCAGGGGGAGGTGGAGAAGCCCTGAGGGGTGATCGGGGCTGGTGCCAGGTGACGACAGCAGGTGTGCGTGGGACTGGCGCCGGCCGCAGGTGCAAGCGCTGTGTGGGACCATGGCACATGGGAGCAAAGAATTTTCAGTAACCACCAAAGGCTCGCCCTGATGACAGTGACTGGCACCCTGCATTGGTCTGGTGCCCATGCTCACCTGCTCCACCATCCCACCATAGCTATCGCCTGCCTTGTTCTGCGCTCTGCTGCCTGCTGCCGACACCTGCCATGTTCCGCGTGTACTCCCTGGTGGTCATCACACATCATAGCAACGGGTTGTTCAGTTGTTCCACTGTTTTGTCTATTTGCATATTAGGGTTTTATATATATAGATGAGAGACCTGGTGCACAAAAACTTGTGCAATGGGGCAGTGTCCCTCAGCCTGGCCTGCCCTGTCTCACAGTTTGGGAGCCCTTAGGATGTCCTACTAACAGCTTAGGCCCGCTTCCTGGGGATGAGGCCTAAGCCGAAGTCTGGCCTTTCTCTGTGGGAGGCGACGGGGCTGATCATGGGAAGGTGCCTCCTCCATCACCCCACTGCTACTGCCTCTGCCGGCCGCCGGCCCTCCTTGGCCCTTGTAGCCGCTGCGGCTTTGTCTGGAGGGACGTCTGGAAGATGTCTGGTCTATCTGGTCTAATTAGCATATTACCCTTTTATTAGTATAGATAGATGGCTTCTATACAATTAAAAAGTTAAACTGGGAAAGAGCAGATAGGACAACCATAAACTATGTAGAAAATGCTTTTTGTTAAATATGTTTGCCTAAGGCTTACAACTGTGGGATGGTGGCTCAATAATAGTACTTGCTTTAAGGAGCTTGCATACACAGTGGGTCCAGCAGCCAGTTCTAGAAGAAGCAGGAAGTAAGGCCTAGGCTATATGTGAAAATCATCCTAAAAATATTCTAAAGCTCTAGGCTAAGCTTTGTTCTAATTTCTTATGTGGGCTGTAAGGCTTCCTGCCTGGAATTTTGTGACACTACCTTACCTAATCTTTGCTGATGACTGTGAAACAGAGAAATTTAAACCAGGCAGTTACTGTGTTTGCTGTGGTTGAAACAGATAGGATAGTAAGAATATACCTGAGAAGCAACATTATGTAGTTTTCTGGAAGATAAGACAATAGATTTCATTATCTATTCTATATTCTGAATTTACAGAGCCTGCATTGATTCGAATGAAGACGGGGACTTGAGTAAATCTACTGTATTGAGAAACTACAAAGAAGCCCAAGAATATAGTTCTTTTGGCACAGCTGAGATGTTGAATTACTCCGTTAATATATATGATGATGGAAACTTACTCTCTATTGTGACCAGTGGAGGTATTCTGTTTCAGATATGCTAATTAGAGTTAAATTTACAAAGTGCAAGATGATAAATTTCTGTAGCCAAAAGCAGCCTCATAGAGAATTTAGAGATTCCAACTGAAGAACTAGGTCTGGAATAATAGATGTAATTTGGTTCCTTGGCAAAGTGTTGTTCCTTAAAATCATAGTCATGTAGGATCCCTTCCAAGAATATAAACATGGTCCAACCACAAAAAAAAATCCATCAGCATAATTCATCTAAAGAACAGTAATTTCACTTCCAAATATTAATCTGAGAGAAATTCAAACTGTTTTTGAAATGACACCAAATGCTATAGTAAAGATCTTTTTACCTGATTGTACTGTCAGGTGAAACAATCTAAATACCCATCAACAAAAGAATAATTTTTTAAAAAAATTGTGTTATTCATACTGTGGAATATTATACAGCAATCAAAACAAATTTTTATATACCTATATCTCAAATATATAAATTTTAAATATATTAATGATAAAACGTGTGTAAAATATGCCATATACTACACAGTGTTTATGGATATGTGTGTGTATATGGTAACAATATAGATGTAAGAAAATGCACACCAACTTCTGGATAGTGGTTATTCCTGGTGAAGGAGCAAAGGGAATGCGGTCAGAAGACTTTATTTTTTTTTAATTTAAATTTCATTTTTTAGCTACAGTTTATATTTATTATTTTGCATTAGTTTCAGGTACACAGTATAGGTTAGACAATCCTATACTTTCCAAAGTGTGAAAGACAACTCTTTATCACCCCCTTCCCCAACTTAAGACATAGCTGAATAGCTAAAGCACAATATATACTGTGTGTGTGCGCACGCACAATTTGATAAGTTTTGAAAGATGCATACTCCCAGGAAACCATCACCACAATCAAGATAATGAACATTTCCATCACACCCACAGTTTGCTTGTCTTCTTGTATAATCCAGCCCTGTCTCCACCCGCAACCCCAGCTAGCCACAGAACTGCTTTCTGTCACTCTAGATTAGTTTACATTTTCTAGAATTTTATGTAAGTGGAATAAGAATATGTTTTTGTTTTTTTTTGGCCAGTCTTATTTCAGAGTAATGGTTTGAAATTTATTTATATTATGATTATAAATAGCTTATTCCTTATTTAGGAATAGTATTTCATGATGTGAGTACATCATGGTTTGTTTATCCATTCACCTTCTGGTGGACATTTGCATTGTTTCAACATTTGTTTACAAGTCTCTGTGTGGAAATATGTTTTTGTTTAACTTGGAATGATATCTAGGAGAACTGGTTAGTTACAGTAGGCATATGTTTAACTTAAGAAACTCCCAGGCTGTTTTCTGCAGTGGCTGTACACTCTGCATTCCACCAGCAGAGCATGAGTGCTCCAGAAGCTCCATATTCTTTGTCCCCACATAGTGTGGCCAGTAAACTTAATTTTAGCCATTCTAACTGATAGGTGGTGGTGGTGACAAAGTTTTTGGGGGGGGTTGGTTGGGGAGATTACATTAAAATCCAACTTTCCTATTTTTTATTTTTGTTTTGTTAATCCTCACCTGATGATATTTTTTCCATTGATTGATTTTTTGAGAGAGAGTGGAAGGGAGGGAGAAAGAGAGAAACATTAATATAAGAGAGATACATCTATTGGTTGACTCTGTCATGCACTCCAACAGGGGCTGGGCATCGGACCTGCAACCCAGGTACATGCCCTTGACAGGGAATTAAACCCACGATCCTTCTGTGCACAGGTGGAGTGGACACTAACCATTGAGAACACTGACCAGGGCTCCAGCTTTTCTGTTTTTATTGGAAAAAAATAAGACAGGAAGAATTGGTAATGTTGGATCCATATTCTTACAGAACAACAGTTGTCTATAGTAGAGGAGTCTCAGCATAGCAGCAGACCCAGTTGGAAGAGTCTTATTCTCTCATTTCTCCTGGAGCTCCAACTATTCCAGTGTCACTCAAACATTAAGGCCCAGTGCCAGTTGTAATTTATCATTATGTTTGTTTTACTGTTTATCTGACAGCAGTGTGACATTTCTCTCTACCCATGTCTTTTAAAAAACTTTTCAATTAAAAGGCCCAATTTTTTTGTTTTTGTTTACTTCATTGGTATATGACATTTATAGAGAAAAGTATACAAATCACAAATCGTATATGCATTGAATTATCACAGGTGAATATGCTGTCTAACCACCACCCAAGTCAAGAAATAAAAACATTGGCAAGGCTCCCATTATGTCTCTTCCTAACTACTAACACACCCTCCCTCCCAAAGTTAACTATTGTCCTTATTTCTATTAGCACATTAGATTGAACCATCTGGTATTGCTGTTTATGGATCAGAAATGATTAAATAGTGGTAATTGCACATGGTTCAATGTTATTATGGTGATATTTCCATTTATATAAGTGGATTATTCATTATATACCCTTTTGTGTGTGACTTAAATAAGCCTTATTTTTGTGTGCCTCATCCTATAGTGTATAGAACAGGGGTGGGCAAACTTTTTGACTCGAGGGCCACAATGGGTTCTTAAACTGGACCGGAGGGCCGGAACAAAAGCATGGATGGAGTGTTTGTGTGAACTAATATAAATTCAAAGTAAACATCATTACATAAAAGGGTACGGTCTTTTTTTTTTTAGTTTTATTCATTTCAAACGGGCCGGATCCGGCCCGCGGGCCGTAGTTTGCCCACGGCTGGTATAGAAGTTCATATTTATTGCTGTATAATATTTAATTCTGTAAATACAGCATGTATTCATTCAAGTTTTTTAATTTTATAAGCAATGCTGCCATGAACAATTTTGCATTTGTTTTTTACTGTGCACACATTTCTGTTGGGTACATAGCTAGAGGTGGAATTGCTAAGTCATAGGGTATGCCTGTGTGCAGCTTTCCAAAATGCTAGTCTACTCTTCCACTAGCATTGTGTGAATGCACATCCCCATCCATGGTTGCTGTTGTCAGTCAGCCTTACAGTTGTAGCCATCTGAAAGGTATGTGGCTTTGATTTGTATTTCTCAGATAGACTAATGAAGTTGAACATATTTTCATATATTTATGAGTCATTTGAATTCCTCTTTTGTGAAATGCTTTTTAAGTGTTTCACCCATTTTTCTTTCACATTCCTTCTTTTCCTTTGGATTTGAAGGTTACATTCTGGATATAAGTTTTTTGTCAATTATATATATTGCAAACACTTCCTCATCCTTGTGAATTGCATTTTTGCTCTCAATGAATAGGGTAGTAGAATAGTGTATGGAATTCAAAGAGTTTTCATTTTTTGTGAATTATTGATAAGAAAATTAAGGGAATATATTATTAACTATTAAGGTGAGGGTATATTCTTATTATTTTTATCATGATTAATATAAAAATTGAATGGTTAGAACTTTGAATCTATGAGAATATTTTGTCCTGTTCCCCTCTTTTTGCCTCTAGGAGCTCATGGAACTCATGTAGCTAGTATAGCTGCTGGGCATTTTCCAGAAGAACCTGAACGGAATGGTGTGGCTCCTGGTGCCCAAATTCTTTCAATCAAGATTGGCGATACAAGACTGAGCACAATGGAAACAGGCACAGGCCTTATAAGAGCTGTGAGTTTTTGTGAGGTGTTGATTGAGAAGATTAATAATTGATGATCTGCGATATTTTTAGGTTTATAAAGTGCTTTGGGCTTACCAAGAGTATTTTTTTCAGTTATTTTGTTAAAATTATTAGGATAAAGTTTCTTGGAAAATATACAAATATTTATATTATACTTCGCATTTCTACTAAATCTCCTAACAAGCTATTTTGAGGTACTTTAAAACAACCAAAAAGGCCTCTTTACCATCTTACTCCATTAGCCTAAGAAGAATTTAACTAACACTCTACATTTTATTTTAATATGAATCATATTTTAATTTAATTTTGGTAAGAACCATTCCATTTTCTCTTCCTCTCCCCTATTCCGATCTGCAAATGGTAGTTTTGTTTTGTGTGTGGGTTTTTGTTTGTTTTTGTAATTTTTAAAAATCCCTACCTAGGGACATGCTTTTATTGATTTAAGGGAGACAGAGGGAGAGAGGGAGAGGGGGAGAGAGAGAAAACCATTGATGTGAGAGAGAAACATTGATTGGTTGCTTTCTTACAGATCCCGATTTGATATCAAACCCAAAACCTAGTATGTGCCCTGACCAGGAATTGAACTCACAAACTTTTGGTGTATGCGACTATGTACCAATTGAGCCTCACTGGCCAGGTCTCTAGTTTTGGTTTTTATAGATATTTACTACACGCTGTCTCCCCTACCTTTTTAAAAGTTTATTAACCATTTGCTTAGAAGTAACATATATTTGGATTTAAGTTAGAATATGATTGATTAAGAAACTGTGGGATTCTATGCCTTTATTTTACTGTCATGTCTGTTTCTGTACATTGCTTCCTAAATTAGATTATTCATCTTTTTAATAGATGATAGAAGTTATAAACCATAAGTGTGATCTTGTCAACTACAGCTATGGAGAAGCAACTCACTGGCCAAATTCTGGGTGAGTGTTCTTTGTCTCCTATTACCTATAGATACTTAGCAGAATAAGAGTATGAAATGCTTTTCATAACTGGGTTGAAAATTATAACTGAAAAAAGCAGTAACTATGTTTCCTAGATCTGGCCCTCATTCCATGGTCGTATTCTTGATATCCTTATTTCCCCTGCCCAGGGATATCCCACATCCCATCTGTCACTAGAATTCCTTATCCATAATCACCCTCAACTCTTCCAGGTGTAATTACCTGACCAAACTCCATATTGTGGAAACCCTGGCATTCCCTTCAGTGATCCCATACCTGCACTTCCAGACTTTTCAGGAGAAACACACTGACAACCCACTTCTGGTTTAAGACCACAGATATGAGATTGATCATACAGCATTGTCTGATCACATTGCATTTACCCTTTCCCTCCTGTATGACCATTTTACACCTCTTAAAGACCTTCAGTGACCTTCCCTCTCTTTCCTGAGTAAAGTTCTCCCCTTTTCCCAGAGAGAACAAAAGCACTCAGCAGGGGACTTTGTGCCCTTCCTGTGACCTCCTCTAACCCCACCTTCTCTGCCTTCCCTGTTGTGTAATGAAAGAAGTGCCAGGATCAAGTCACTCAAGCCTCTGAGATCTGTATCTCATTTCCTCTCTCCTTTACTGCATTATTATACAGATATGCTCTAGAGTCGCCAGCCTTAAAACAGACACAAAACCTCTTCATTTCATACTGCTTTCATTCACTTTTCCAGGAAAACTTAATGTGTATGTTCGAATTCTAAGTCTTTTCCCGACCCTTCCTCCTTGTGTCATCAGTATCTTCCTGCTGCCAAATCCAGTGGTTTAGTCTTGACCTCATGCTACCTTACCTTTTTTCTTCATAGTAGTAACTTTGAGATTACCTTACTTAGAGTATTATCTTACTGATCATTTTCTCCCTCCCACCACCAGGCCATTCATATATACCTATCATTCAGTGTCTGAGGTTCTTTAATAAAATACTGCCAAAGTCCAAATTTTACCAAGCCCAGACCTTGTAGTTTGCTGTTATCAAATAACTTACTGTTTCCAGAAAACTAGTACTACTAAGTTTCTATGACACATCTTTTCTTGTCCTTTTAACAAGCACCCTGTCATCCTCAGACATTTTATTTGTGAATGCAATCTTGTCCCTTCTTTTTGCTTCAGTATCTTATTTACCTACGTGTATTTCTTTCTCTCCTTTGATATTCATCCATTTAAAGTCATTTCCCCTGATACCCTTCTTTTGTACTTTGGAGTGTCCTTAGCCCTATACCTTTGTTATATTGACTCCATTTTCTTCATGGTCTAACAGTTAGACTCTAACTTCATCTCTTTTAATCAATACCAGTACATTTTTCTTGTTTGCTATCAAGCTCTAACCAGATTTCTTATATTTTAAATCATTCTCTTAAGTTCTCCCTAGTGCTTTATTTCCCCTTCATTTTTGTCACTAATTACAAATATATCTAGGAATTCCCCAAGAGTTGTTTCTGAATGTGACTTTAAGTGGAATGGGACTGAAAGCACCAGTGGCCCCACTACCCAGTCACAGCTAATCATTCAGTATCCTTTTGTAGTTTTCCCCATATGTATTCAATTTTGTATCTAGCATTTCTCCACATTTAACCTGGCCTCATAACTGCTTCCCAACTCTAAAATCTAACTAGGGTGCATCACCTGGATTGGCTGTATCATGTTCCACCAATGGTGGCACCAAAAGTTACTTAACCACTCATTTGAACAATATTTTGCTATTATATATACTTTTGGAATAGAGGTTAAGCATTTATTGTTTAAGAATGTCCCGATCTCCATTTCACCTAAGAACAGGAACAGAACAGATGCCCTCTTTCACCACTCCTGTTTATCATAGTACTGGAAGTGCTAGCCATAGCGATTAGACAAGAAGAAGAAATAAAAGGCATCCAAATTGGAAAAGAAGTAAAACTTAATATTTGCAAATGACATGATATTATACATAGAAAACCCTAAAGACTCCATCAAAAAATTATTATACTTAATAACTGAATTTGGCAATGTAGCAGGATACAAAATTAATACCCAGAAATCTATGGCATTTTTATACAACAATAGTGAACTTGCAGAAAGAGAGATTTAAAAAACAATCCCATTTACCATTGCACCAAGAAAATTAAGATATCTAGGAATAAATTAAGGAGGTAAAATACCTCTACTTGGAAAACTAGACGACATTGAAAAAAGACATAGTGGAAGACATAAACAAATGGAATAATATACCGTGTTCATGGATTGGTAGAATCAACATCATTAAAATGTCCATACTACCCAAAGTAATCTATAGATTCAGTGCACTCCCCATTAAAATACCAACAGCATATTTCACAGATAAACTCTCCTAAAATTCATATGGAATAAAAAAACAGACCCTGAATAGCCACAGCAATCCTGAGAAAGAAGAACAAAGTAGGAGGGATATCAATACCAGATATCAAGCTATATTACAAAGTCACTGTCCTCAAAACTGCCTGGTACTGGCACAAGAATAGACATATAGACGAATGAAATAGAACATAGAACCCAGAAATATACCCAAGCCATTACGCTCAATTAATATTTGACAAAGGAGGCAAGAGCATACAATGGAATCAAGACAGTCTCTTCAGTAAATGGTGTTGGGAAAATTGGACAGATACATGCAAAAAAATGAAATTAGACCACCAACTTACACCATACACAAAACTAAACTCAAAATGAATAAAGGACTTAAACATAAGATGGGAAACCATAAAATCGTAATGGAATCCACAGGCAGCAAAATATCAGACATATGTCTTAGCAGTGTCCTTACTGATACTGTTCCTGGGGCAATGGAAACTAAGGAGAAAATAAATAAATGGGACTACATCAAAATAAAAAGCTTCTGCATAGCAAAAGAAACCATCAACAAAACAAGAAAGCCCACTGCATGGGAGAACATATTTGCAGTGTTATTTCCAGTAAGGGTTTAATCTCCAAAATTTACAGGGAACTCATACAACTTAACAAAAGGAAGATAAACAATCCAATAAAAAAAATGAGCAATGGACCTAAATAGACACTTTTCGAAAGAGGACGTACATAAGGCCAAGAGACATATGAAAACATGCTCAAAGTAATCATCCGAGAAATGCAAATCAAAACGACAATGCGGTACCACCTCAAACCTGTCAGAATGGCTATCATTAACAAAGCAACAAACTACAAGTGCTGGCGAGGATGTGGAGAAAAAGGAACCCTCATGCACTGCTGGTGGGAATGCAGACTGGTGCTGCCACTGTGGAGTTTCCTCAAAAAATTAAAAATGGAACCCCCATTTGACCCAGTAATCCCACTTCTAGGAATATATCCCAAGAAATCAGAAATACAGTCAGAAAAGATATATGCACCCCTATTTTCATAGTAGCACAGTTTAGAATAGCTAAGATTTGGAAACAGCCTAAGTGTCCATCAGCAGATGAGTGGATTAAAAAACAGTGGTACATCTACACAATGGAATACTATGTTGCTGTAAAAAAGAAGGAACTTCTACCACTTGCAACAGCGTGGATGGAACTGGAGAGCATTATGCTGAGCGAAATAAGCCAGTCGGAGAAAGATAAATATCACATGAACTCACTCATTTGTGGAAAATAATGAACTACATAAACTGATGAACAAAAATAGATCCAGAGATAGAGAAGCATCAAGGGGTGGGGAGGGGGGTATGGGGGGGGGAGTGGCTGGGGTGAGGCCAATGGGGGAAAAAGGAGACATGTAATACTTTAATCAATAAAGAAAAAAATAATGTCCCAATCTGAGTGATTCTAATGCACATTTCCTTATATATAGATAGCCATTGTTTTAGTTCTGTTACTAGAATCCATATTTTAGTCTATTTTTAATATATAAACCATATTTGCAGATATTTTCACATAATATAGATTTTGAAAAGTGGGACAATTTTTTATGTTTAAAGGAATTCTCTCTCTCTTTCAGGAGAATTTGTGAAGTCATTAATGAAGCAGTGTGGAAGCATAATATAATTTATATTTCCAGTGCTGGAAACAATGGTCCATGCCTTTCTACAGTTGGTTGTCCTGGTGGAACTACATCAAGTGTAATAGGTGAGTTTCCTATTTTAGAAATGGACTTGTTTAAAAATCAGCAAACAAAAAACACCTCAGTTAATCCAATGTTAATTGGATCTCTTCTATGCGAGACACCATAAACCTTAAATACAACCTCGGGAAACTGAAATCTAGTTAGGGGTCTGCTGATCTGGAATTGACTCTGAAGTAAACTGGATTAAGTGGTTGAATGGAGGTACAGATAAAGTGCTGTGGGATTACAAAAGTGGCTACTTCTGATTTGAGAATTTAGGTAAGAATGGGGGATTAAGGATTTCCGCCAGTAGAAAGGATCAAGGAAAGGGCTTTCCAGACTACGTGAACAATGTAAAGACACTTTCTTTACTTTTTTATTTTTTTGATTTCAGAGAGGACATGAGAAGGGGAGAGAAACATCAATAATGAGAGAAAATCATTGATTGTTTGCCTCGTACACTCCCCACACTAGGGATCGAGCCCACAGCCCAGGCATATGGCCTGACCGGGAATCGAACCATGACCTCCTGGTTCATAGGTTGACGCTCAACTACTAAGCCACGCTGACAAAGCCACTTCCTTTACTGTTTATTTATAGTGCACGACTACTTAGTTCATAGTATAGTTTTCTCCTTTCATTTCTCTTAGAACATGCAGAAAGAACCAGATGTTAAAGAAGAAAGCTCTATTAATGAGA